CTCTTGTCATGTTGCATACCATTTCTTTAAGAATTATTTATTTGATTTGTTATTTATTATTAGCCTTCTCCAATTTGATAAGAGAGAGAGAGGGGCGGGGCAGAATGTGAAAGCCAGTCAGTGCATCCAGGGGTCAAACCATAGTTTGTCATACGAGAATCCAGTGCCTTATCCACCCCACAACCTGTCAGCCTCTTGTATATCATTCTTTGTTGTACTAAACATCTCAAAGCATTGACTATAATCTCAGCCAATTAGATGAGGTAGAAGATTTATACAACAGGGACCAGCAGGTCACATAGTAGTTAAAATGCTGGACTCTCACATGACTGACAACAGTTTGAGTCTTGGACATATTGTCTAAAACCTCATGCTGAGTGCATGTGCATGCATGTCCCACATCCTGGGAGGAGATGGAGGAGAATGGATTGTGATGTGGTCATTTCCCCTGTGAGCTAATTTTTTACTTTCTCTCTTAATGTCTCTGTTGCTCTCTCTCTCTCTCTGTCTCTCTGTCTCTCTCTCTCTCTTGAGTGCACAAACCCTAAAGAAAAATCTTTAAAAAATATTTATATAGCAATCATGCTTCACCTATGTATTGTGTTAATATATGAAAATCAGTGTTGTACTAACGTCAGAGTCCAGAAGTGGATTAAACATATTCTTATCATTCAGCTGGCACATGAGATTTAAGTTAGCTTTTTATTGTGCACCTACATATCACATTAGATATTTTAAAATCTAGAACCAAAAATTTTCTACCCAACCAGATCTGAGGACCTAGTATAAATATTCTTGGGAACACAGTTTTTCATACTATTTACCTTGTAAAACCTCCATTGAGATTGTTTTGAAGAAAGTTATTACATAAGAAAAAAGAATGACACAAGGGATTATTTTAATTATGTATGGGATATAGCAATTAGGTACATTGGAGATATTTGGTAAATAATACATAAAGAGGGCTGGCAGATGACGTGATGGTTAAAGCCCTAGACTCTCACATGGCTGTAAAGAACAAAGAGAAGCATACTAGTTCTTCATTAGAAGTCTTTCTAAGGGCGACCAACAGATAGCATAGTGATTAATTTCTGGACTCCCATATGGCTGACTACAGTTTTGAGTCCTAGAACCAGAGACTTAAAACTCATGTCTGGCATATGTGCCTAGTTGCCTCAAACCCTGAGAAGACAATAAAGAATGGATTGCAATGTGGATATCACCCCAGGAGTGTTTTCTCACTTTCTCTGTCTCTCTGGAAGGTGCATGTACCCTATAGCAAAAATCTCTCTATTAAAAAAAAAAAAAGAAAAGAAAACCTAACTAATATCAATGTGATGGGAGTTTAAATGATACACAGTATTAAATTATTAAAGGCAATAGTTTTCTTCAAAGTGGAAAAAAATAGGGACATCCCATCAAAACAGTGTATAACATGTATGATTATGACTAATAATTCTCTTTTCTGCTCAGACTCCTGAATCTGTGTGTAGTCACAGCTGTGTTCCCGGATTTCAAAAACTTCCCCGAGAAGGAAGACCTGTTTGCTGCTTTATTTGTGTCTTGTGCCCAGAGTCAGAAATTTCAAATCAAACAAGTATGAAATATATAACTATACTATTAGTTTCTACATTTGCTCAATAAAAATAAAACTGTTACTATTAGAAATAAAACATGGGGGTAAGAAGGTGGTGTGATGGTGAAGGCACTGCATGTGACTGAATGGGATTTAATTCCCAATCATGAGACTTGAAAGTCATTCCAGGTGCATATGCATGTGTGCTTCAAATCTCCAGAGCAGAAAGAAAAAGAAGAAACCATGGCAAGGCCATCTCCTCTGGGAGGTGATTTCTCACTTTCTGTTTCTCTGATGAACACACTCATCAACAATGCACTGTAAAGTTATATGTGATTCAAAGTAATATAAACAAGATTATAATACTAGACAAAATTAATAATAATAATAAATTAAATTAAATAAGTAATTTTCAAAAAAGTATATTAGGGGCCAGTAGGTGGCATGATTCATAAGGTACTGAAATCCCACATGATCTACCATGATTTGAGTCCCAGACCTGGCCACAAGCTTTTCCACTTTCCCTCTCTCTTTCTGTCTCTGTCTCTCTGTGCTGAACACATAAGCCCTAGAGAAAATTTTAAAATTAATAATAAATAGAATAAAATAAATAATTATATTAAAAAAGAAAAAGAAAGGGACCAGCAGTTAGTGTAATGGGTATGTTGCTGGACTCCTAAATAGTCGGCTGTGGTTTGCGTCGCAGACCCGGTGGCTTAAAACTCACACTGGGTGTGTGTGCATGAGTGCCCAAAATTCCAAAAGGAGAATGGAGGAGAAGGGATTGCAACATGGCAATCTCCCCTGGGGGGTAACTTCTCGCTTTCTATCTCTCTGTCTCTCTCTGTCTTTCTGGCAAGCACATGCACCCTATAGCAAAAACCTCTCCAAAAAAAAGGACAAAAAAAGAAAAAGAAAGAAAGAAAAAGAAAAAAAAATGAATAGAGAAAGAAAGGGTTTGGGACCCTGAAGAAAAAAAACACACTTATATGGGTGCCAAACCTATTTCTGAGACAAAAGTCTGGAATATCTGCTGACTCTTGAAATAGAAATACATAATACAAGAAAAAAAATGTGATTACTTATTTTTCTAATCCTTTTTTCCTGAGAACTGTTTATTTAATTCTATCATTATTATTATTATTAAAATTTCTATAAGTCTTGTGTACTCACCAGAGAGATTTAGGAAGGGAAAGTGAGAAAGCAAGTTACCATGTCTGAGACTCAAACTTCAATAAGTCTTTGGGGAGCCTAGGACTTTTTTGTATTATTTTAATTTCTTTTATACATTCAATCACTATACATCACTTTGCTTGTAAAGTGAATTTCCAACATGAATACATTTCTCACCAGTCTAGTTAGGGGTACCCTACATGTTATCATTAACAAGTCATAATCCATTTCTATGTCCTGTAAATGTCTTGCCTCTCTGTTATTCTCCTTAATGTCTTTCCTCAGACTCTCCTTCTCCCTTCATCTTCCCACCCTAGGATCTTAACTACATGACTCCTGCTGACCCCCACTGTAACTCTTTGAGAAGATATTGGCCTGTAAGAGTCACAATGTTTTTAGTTTTTTTAACTTTTCTTTAGAAAAATGCCTCATGACTTTTCTGAGAGCCCAATAGTATTGCCTCAGTATCACCAAAAGTAAATAAAAAATACTTGAGTAAATATAAGACACACCACCTAAAAAACAAAGTAATTGAAATGCAGACATACTTATTAATTTCCATTATCTGTGCTTTCCTGCTACATAACAATAGAAGTGAGTCTGTGCAACAGAAACCGCATAATGTATAAAGGCAAAATTATTACCAGCCTCTCAAAAAGAAAAAAAAAAGATTTAAATAATTTATAAACTATGCTTTCAAATGTATATAAATGGATACCTCAAAAAATAACATTCCATCTTTCTATCATGTAATTATAATACCAATTTCTCAAGTAACAGCTATATAGGAGCAATCAAATTCCATTCACGATTTAAATGTTTTAAAACAGTTTTCTGGGACCTGCAGTTGTCATAGTCATTTATTGTTTTTTTTAAATTATCATCATAATCTTGTTTATATTACATTGAACCACATATAAAAATATGGAACTTCACGAGTTTGTGTGTCATCCTTACGCAGGGGCCATGCTGATCTTCTCTGTATCATTCCAATTTTTAGTATATGTGCTGCTGAAGCAAGAACTCATAGTCATTTATTGTTGAACTCCAACATGGCCAAATGCAGTTTGAGTCCCAAACATGGTGCTTTGAAACTCATGTCAGACAGGTGTGTGTGTACATGCCCAAGATATCAGGAAGAGAATGGAGAAAAAGAGACTGCAGCATGACAAATCTCTCTGAAGCTGATTTCTCACTTTTCCTCTCACTGTGTCTGTCTCTTTCTTTCTCTCTCCCTGGCAAGCACATATGCCCTAATGCAAAACCTCTAAAAAAAAAAAAAAAAAATTGATAGAAAAAATAAAATGTACAATGAGAAAAGTAGGTACACAAAGTGACATGCAATATACAAGGAAAAATCTATAGAAATTAGGATAGAGATAGAAGTTATGATATTAGAGGAGAATAAGATATTTCTTGGTTTCTGAATATTGCAAACAAAACTATTCATTTCTGTTGCGATGAACAGCTATGATAAGCCATAGAAATATAAAGTTCATTACAAAAACAAAACAAAACAAAAACAAAGGAGAGTGTAGAGATCTGGAATAAATTTTCACCATTGATAGTATCATTCAGAGCCACAAGATGGGCCAACCAAGATCTTTAGATACTGAGATCCAGTTTTAAATCACTTCAGTGCCACCGGAAGCTGAAAGAATTTTCCCAGTGTTATCAACATAGGCTCTTAATTTGGTATATTTTGGTATTACCTTGGGGATTCATCTGTGGAAAATTACACGAAAGTCACCATTTTCTTTAACATGACAATCAATTTGTAAAACTGAATTGCTGGATCTTTGTTTTGTCACCAGTGTGTCAAATGCCCAGCTCAAAAGTATCCAAACAGTGAAAGAACTCACTGCCTCCCCAAGCCTGTGACCTTCCTGGCTTTTGAGGATGCTTTCGGGACAGCCATGGCCTGCATGGCTCTGTGCTTCTGTGTCCTCACAGCTGTAGTTTTGGGAGTTTTTGTGAAGCACAGAGACACTCCCATTATCAAGGCCAAAAACCAGGCTCTCAGCTTTATTCTGCTCATCTCCCTCCTGCTGTGCTTCCTGTGCTCCTTGCTCTTCATTGGCTATCCTAATGCAGCCACTTGTGTCCTTCAGCAAGTTGCATTTGGCCTTGTGGCGTTTGGCCTTATGTTCACTGTGGCTGTTTCCACTGTTTTGGCCAAAACCATTACTGTGATTCTGATATTCAAAGCCATGAAGCCTGGAAGAACAGTGAGGTACTTGTTCCTCTCAAGGGCTTCCAACTCTGTCATTCCCATTTGCTCTGTGTTCCAAATGATTATCTGTGGAATCTAGCTAGGAACCTCTTCCCCTTTCATTGACATAGACTCACACTCTGAGCCCAGGAACCTCATCATCATGTGCAACAAGGGCTCAGTCACTGCCTTCTACTGCATCCTGGGCTACTTGGGCTTCTTGGCTATGGGGAGTTTTACTGTAGTTTTCCTGACAAGGAAACTGCTTGACACATTCAATGAAGCCAAGTTCCTCACATTCAGCATGCTGGTGTTCTGCAGTGTCTGGGTCACATTTGTCCCTGTCTATCACAGCACGAAGGGGAAGTTCATGGTGATTGTTGAGGTCTTCTCTATTTTGGCCTCCAGTGCAGGGCTCCTAGGCTGCATTTTTGTGTCCAAGTGCTATATTATTCTGTTAAGGCCTGATAAGAATTCCTGGAAAGCTTTAAAAGTCAGAAGAGGTTACAAATAAAATCCAAGGTTTAAATCATAAGACTATTATAACTTTAGAGTTTTGAACCAGAAAGTTACAGATTTTATATTCTTATATTATAAAGAAATTGAAAATGACTGACTTACTAAATTCACTTTTAAAACAATGTATGCATTTAATCACTGGCAGTTATTATACTTTAAGCTCTGGTTGGTATCTTAGATTAATGGGCACTTCTTACATTATGGGTATTGATTAATGGCAACATCTTATTAATTGTTTAGTATTTATTGTGTTCTCCTAGAAACCTTTTTACTTCTATATAGTCAGGAA